AAAAGAGATTGTGCCTGTTCATAGAAAGCATCCATAAGTTTGTTTCACATGCAAGATGGTTAAACGACATTTCGTTTGTATTTCCTTTTGAGTAATCTTGTAACAGATTGTACTGAATGATCGATGTATTCGGCAATTTTATAAATATCGCGCTTTTGACAAGAATTCATTTGAATCCATGGCCATTATTTTGCGATTCAAAGGTAACCGAGACGTTTGCTGCTTTATTAATATTTACATTTTAATATTTCTTTGTTCGAATGTTTTCTTTGAACGCGAGTTACAGACAGGACTCAAACGCGTCGAGTTGAACGGAAGAGTTTTTAAATAAATTTTATCAATGAAAGAATTGTCAATGAAGAATTTCAATGAATATACATTTCTGTACATGTATTGTATTATTTTAAGTCGATAATTTTAAGGTCTGTCAAACTTAAAGAATTGTGTCTTTTGGATATGTATTGTGAATTAAAATGAGAAATGAATGAACGTAAAGATAATTAAACTTATTAATAGAAAGATAGATAAGAAAATAATATTATTAATAAAATTTTTCAAATCATACAAGATACTACCATACAATTTCTCAAAATCTACTACTATAATTAGTTCAATAAACTATCCTTCATTTATATCCATCAATAATAATTAATCGAATAATACATTTATACAATACATGAACACTTTTTACATTTTACAGTAATACATCCTCTAAATAAAAAATTAAATAATTTCTCGTAGATATATTTAGACGTTAAATTAAATATAATAAACCTCGGTCGATCATCTTATAATACAAAGAATAGAGTGAACAAATGCGTTGCAATTTCCAGTTCGTATTACGACACTCTACTTCGTCAACCATAATCATATCAGACAAGAGAACCAGTTTGCCGGTTATTTTTAATAAGCCGCTGTCGTACGTAATGAAGTCTCCGCGACTGGTACATATTTCATGAAATTTATTCGTTCGCCACAATTCGAGTCAAAAATGCATCAAATTCGAGATATGAAATTTTTTTTCTATCGAGCAATGATAGTTTCGATTGTTAAGAGCAAGCAATCGTGACTCGGACGTTGTTTCGAAACCGATTTTTTTTAATCTGGGGAATCTTATTGACCAAGTCACCAGAAAAATATAAATCGATGAAAAATGATTCAAGAATGGAAGAAGGAGGACAGATCGCAGTGGTGAAAGCCCAATTGAATTTTATTAGATTGATGAATATGAATTGTTGCTTCTTTAAAGTTGAACGATTAATATCATTCATTAGATTTTATCTTATTATCAATTTTTAACAATAAGAAGAAAACGTTGATTTAAGAATTGTAATTTAATTTTTTTATAAGATATAATATAATATAGAGAGATAGAGAGATCAATTTTGTTTTTTTTATTTATTTTTTGTTTATTTTATAGGAAAAAAATTTAGAATAATAAATGCTAGAATCCCTGCGAGTTTTTATGAATAATTAAAATATTTAGTAATTTTTTATATCATATAATAAATTTAAATTTAAAAAAATTGTTACAGAAATTACTAAATATAAATTTATTACGTAGAAAGAAAAAAGAAACATTTATTATTCGTCATCAATTATTTTAAAAAGAAGTCTATAAGAAATATATGCAAAGATCCTTCAAATTCTAGAACGAAAATTGCTTAAAAATTTTCAATAAAATCTAGTTTTTTTTTATTAATATAATATATTAATATTAATATATATATTAATATAGAAAAAAATATAGAAAAAAATCATCTTTGCTCATATTTTATATTAATAAATTTCTCTAACTGTGTTTAAAAATACAAAACTTTCAATATGAATTTTTAATGCGACGCTCTCATATATTTTTACACCGATTGAAAACATTTCAAGCATAAAACCACCATATTTTTTTGTCATTATTACAACAACTAACCTACTGTATAATTTTAATTATTTTAATTTCACTTCGAGAAACGACCGTTCACTATACCCTGATACAAAGATACATTCGCGTGGTTGCATCTCGTTTCCTGAAGCTATCGCGGATCTTGTGCGAATTGGCAGGCAACCCTTTGCAATAATTAGACACCTGCGAGGCCGCGTCTGTAATTCGAATCTACGTCTTTGAGGAAGACACTCGGCCCAAGGCGTAGCTAGTAAATTTCCAACCGTGCAACGGTGTCCCTATGTCTCGTCCAATCGAAGCCGAGATAAGATAAAGCAAGGGTCGAGGCGACTTGCACGCCCTGTATCTCCGTGAAAATTAGCCGATTTCTCCGTTAACAGCGTGTCTCATCCCCCCGTCGATTCGAAAAGTTCGACCTTAACCTTCGCCCTGCCCGTAACCCCAATCTGGCCTCCCTCTCTCAAGATTAACGACACGTTCCTTTGAATACAGGCCGCGATAAGTCTGATAACACGGGCAAAAAAGTTATTTAACTTTTGCCGGACGAGGGGGGTGGCTTTCACGGACTATCGGCCGTCGACACGATGACAAACGAGAGGGATACTCGTCTCGATAAGTAGCCAGGAAACTAGCTTAGATTAGATTAAAAATGAGAGGGTATCACGATTATTTATTGAGGGATCATCTTCGTTGTCTCTTCGAAGATGCGCTAAACTGTGTGTTGAGATATTGATGAAGAGAGTGACATTAACAGTTATAATTGGTGTGTGAGTTTTTAGTTAAAATGTGAATATTTTTAATATTTTTAATTAAAATATAAATGAATAAGATTTTCGAAAAAGGATTTATCTAAATCATCATTAATTTAATATTTTTAATTACATTGATAAACTAAATAATATATGAATAAATTAATCATTCAAAACAATATGAATAGAAATAAGAAGAAAATGTATTAAATGAAAAATTCATTATTCCAAAAAAAAAAAAAAATTAGAATTTTTTAAAATTTAAATAGAAACTTACCACCTTTTCTTTTATTTCATTCTTTAGATCATTATACATTTAAATTTTGCATAAACATCCGCAATCTATTTATTATTACAGTAACTCCGTGATCCCAGAGATTAAAAAAAAAAAACCCTCAAATCTCCAAATAAACGTTTCAATTTCACCATCATCGGACAAAATATTACAAAAACCTTCCAATATCCCGCCATCTTTCCATCTTATCTCCATCATCGAGATGGAGCTCGCAGTGGGGGGCATCCTTCGATAACAGACGAAGCCGCGATCCTTATAAACGGTAGCCGAACGTGCATCCACTGATACAGGGATCTTTGATGCGCGTGGGGAATAAAATTGGCCGGAACATCCTCCCTGAGATAGAAACACACAGAGAGGAAGAGGGGGAGTGCAACGAGGATGTTAGCAACGGTGCGGATCTCCCTCACGGAATCCAAGGAAGAAACTGGAAATCCACTGTTGGATCGGGATGGGGAGGAAAGGAGGCGAGATAAATCTGTTTCCAGGCGAAGATCATCGAAATTCCGGGGACGTAGGAGGGTGGTGCACGTAAGGGGTGGCGAAACCGAAAGCAGATGGGGATTGATTGGCTCGTGTCTCTCCGCCGCCTCGTAAAGGCAGCTCTCGGTCGAATCCAGTGCACACAAAGGGTCTTATGCACGCGTGCACGCAATCACGCACACGTCGAACATCGCGCGACTTCCACCCAGGGCGCCACGGTTGCCCTGTAGGGGTAGCCTCTGGTAAACACGCGCGTATCGCGTCATTGCGCCCCGCGTGTACTGCTTGGGTCACGCGCATCCTAATATACATAATTCACGCACCGAGTACACTGTACACCGGTCGGAATATTTACTCTGCGTGGAATAATTTCGTGAAACTATTATTATACTTTTGTCGCGAATTTTTGACGAATTTCGTTCAATATTTAATGTTTTTTTTTACATTGATAAACTAAATAATATATGAATAAATTAATCATTCAAAACAACATGAATAGAAATAAGAAGAAATATATTGAATTGTGTATTACGATGAAATTTGGGTAGATTAATATTCTAGATTTGACTAATTCTTGTAAAATTAATTTTTAAACACGTGCATTTCTCTGTTTCTTAATTGTTATTTTTTATCACGTTGTCAATTATAATTTTATTTTAGTCTTGTAATATAAATTCACACTATTAATTCAAAACGAATATGATATTTAATATTTCGAATATAGATATCTGAAGAATAATTCATTTAAATATTTCAATTTCTCTTCGAAAACCGCCAAGAGATTATTTACGACTTCAAAAATATCACTTATTCCACCCCTTTATTCAAAGTCCCTTTTTCCTCTATTTCACTTATCTATCCTAAAAATTAACAACCCTTCTTAATCACCCACACGCACGACCCACACAACACCTTCTAGACACGCACAAAAGTACGCTTTGCTCGTTCGCTTCGACCCACGCACACGCAAGTCTCTCGTACGCGGTCAAACGCATAGATCACAGGGACGCGTGTATCGCACGCATACCCAGCCGTACATGGCCGCGATAAACACGCGGGTACGTGTACACGCGTTAAGAACGCGAGCGCGCGGGTTTATGAACAGAGGGCACAAGTTGCGAGGAGAACGAGGATGTATGGAGCAACGGCTATTGTTACGGGTATTATTTGCAGCTAATCGGAATGGCAGAGCGTGAGAGGAGGGAGGAAAGGGTAAACCGGTGGTGAATGCGTACGGCGAAGTGAATGAGCGAGCGACGGACGACCGAGCGATGGGGGGAGGAGAGGGGGGGAGGAAGAGGAAGTTCGTGGCATGCCAGGTCAACCTGATTGCGGGCCGGCTCGCCACCACGCCCTGACCCACGAGATTTTCAAGATATCCGACACACGAGAGGGTCGACAGGCGCAGGGGTCAACCAACTCGAACCCCTCGCCTTCGTCATCACGACGTCGACGTCGTCGTGTGTCGTCCCCTTTCGCCTCGATGCGAAACTTTCCTACAGGCTTGACGTGTACTTTAAATAACCGGAGGTGTAGCGTAAGAGGTAGAAGGAGAAGATCGGGAATAGAAACTCACCCGTGTCGAGAGTAGTCGCGAATCGGAGGAACGGTTCACCGATGACTCGAGCTGGTGGTGATTCATCTGAAACAAAACCACGGTTGCTTGTTAGATTGATATGCTGCCTGGGGGATTTCGAGGAATTGGGGAGGATAAAGTGGTGCCAATCAAGAGATGGAGTTATGGCGGCAATGTATGATTCTAAATTAATTAAGTAAGTTTTTCTTTTTAGGTTCTTTTATGATTGGTGTTTGCATTAATGTTTGGGTTAGTTTGTGTTACGATTAGTTATGAAATATTGTCGAATAGTTCTTTTGGATAGTAAATTGAGATACAATTTTTTATTCATCTAAAATAAAATTATACTTCTATTATAATTTCTAAATATAATTCTTATCTATATATTATCTAATATAATTATCTATACACGTATACGTATTTTCTAATTTAAATTATATCTCTTATCATATTGATAAGAGATATAACTCGTCGTGTATCAAAGCAATTTCCTGTTTGTCGAAATATTTAAGTAATCAATGCATTAAAAATTATTTTATGATAATGTAAATGAAACTTTGATGAAATTAATGTTCTTATGAATATTCAAAAATCGAAATTATGAAATAAAACTAAAAAAAAAAAAAAAAAAAANAAAAAAAAAAAAAAAAATATCAAAGTTTACTTAAGCACTTAGTTCAATATAAGAAATTATTTCATCTAACATAAATTAATCATATAACATACTTAGATATTCAACGAAATCACAAATAAGTACGTGACAAAAAATTTTTAATCGTATCAAAGTGGCTAGCTCTTTATTTTAAAAGATCAAAAGCAACGTGGCAAACATTATTTCGTTCGTGCACAAATTGCCAATTTAGTTTTCGAATGATATATACAACACAGTTACTGCAATTATTATTGTTTTCGGGGGAATAATAGTTACAAAATCGTCGTAACCATTCATGTGCAACATTTATTGATGTGCAACGATTGAACCTGTGCAATTAATTAGTTTGCTATATTAAATTCACGTTTCAGTTAATGAAAAATCTGTCAATCGCTCTCCCACATACCTACATTATAAATAGATGTCGCATTACACGCAATAATACCTTCAATATGGTGATATTTTCACTGTCAAATTAATATCACGGATACGCCATAATGCATTCTGTACGCACGAATTCAAATTCTAATCATAACAATAATCATAATAAGTGTTTCAAAATAATTTTTGACTATCATGAAGTACGAGGAAAATATTTAGATCGTACACGTATTAACGATGAAGAAATTCATAGTAAGTAAATGTCTTTCATAAGATTCAATGCACGTATGTTAGCTTCTTGACATAGATTGCTAAACTCGTTAGATAGGATGGGGATTATATTATGATATCATCTTCATTTACGTCAATATTATTATCCGTAAAGAAAAGTGGATTAAAATAACGAAAAAAAAAAAAAAAATTATATTTTTCATAGATGGATCATGATATATTTTATTCCAATTATTTTTGATTAATTGTTTTATAATTTTTTCTAGAAAGAATATACATTATAAATTAATAAATGCAATTAAATCAACATCATTAACAATTATTCACAAAATTGATAAAGTATTTAACAATTATATCATTATATTTATGATAAATGTAATTTATCAAAAGATATTATAATCGATGGTATTTATATTAGATAATATAAAATTTAGTAACATATATAAACTTCTTGATATCATCTTTTATTCATCGATAAAATTAATATTATTCAAAGAGTTACAATTGCTTTTTTTCACTAGATATAGTCAATATATATATTAATGATGTTATTAAAAAAAATGAGATATTTCTCTATCTAAAAGAAAATTTTGTAAAATCCTTTTTTCTTTACAATAATAATTCGCAATAATAATAATAATTGATCGAATTTAAAATGTATTGAAGTTAAATTAAATAACATTTCCCAATAAAAAATGAAATTCTGTCCGGACACATGAAACATTACGTTTCCTAAAATATCTCAAATAATATTAATTTGCAGAATATATTACTATAAGACGTTCTTACGTATTCATTTGTTTTCAAAACTGAATTCATTCCAGAAACAACCAACAAACCAAATAACCATTGCACAAAGATACGCAGAAATATTCATTTATTATAACGCGTCTTTTACTTCCTCGGCCAAGTGACGATGAGGATCAGCGAGAAGAGAAAAAACTGCACTGTAAAAACTCTGTGTAAAAACAAATTTGCACGACGTGGATCAAGAAGTTCATCAAGAGGGCCACAGAGGCTGTGCAGAAGAAATTGTTAACGATTTAATATTGCCGCAGCAAGAAAGTTTAGTAAACGTTACTACTTCTTTCCCCTCAGAGTTGAATGCGAAATCATCACGATGCATAAAACATCGGCCGACAATTATTCTTATTACACGCTATCTCTCCAGCGATATCGTCGTTTCTTGCTCGTCCAATCGTTCCCTGCTGGCATCGTCGAATTTCCGCGCAAAGAATCTCGCGGATCTCCCTCTCTAATCGTCGGAAGTCATTCTCAATCGCGAAATTTAGAATAATTTATTCGAAACTAGAGAGAAAGGAAGGAAGGAAGAAAACAAAGAAAGAAAGAAAAAAGAAAGAATACGGAGAGGAAGAGATTGAAAAAGCATCCACCACGTTGAAAAACTTGAATTCGTAGCTTCGTTTATTTATTGTTTCGAACTGGAGATGGGGGTGGAAAGGTGAAAAGTTGCTCGAACTCGTTGAAACATCTGTAACGAACGAAGATCGCGTTTCAATGGCCGGTTTCAAGAGGAATTTCTTTTTTTTAATCTTGTGGAAAAAGGAAGAATTAAGTGGGTAGAGATGGATAGAGGTGATCGATAAGACTTTTTTTTTTTTTCCTCTTGAGAACGAAGGAAATCTATCGTACACTGGAATGAATAAGAATAAAAAGAAGTCGCTTGATTCACGATATATCGTGATCGAACGATAATTGTTATATTAATTACAAATAATCAAGTTATTCATTATTGAAAATAAAAAAAGATTAGGAGGTAGGATATATTGTAAGATGATTACAATATATCCTAATTAAGAAGTTAATTAAGAAAGTTTTACAGTAAAAAGATTAATCTTTTTGTATTTTTGATAAAACATTTCCTTAAACTTCTTCTATTGGAAAATATATCCTTGGAGAATATATATTTTAACATTCTTGCAAATAATTTTCAATTTCAGCGATTATGGATTATATTATATTCTTTTGCTGTATCCTATAACACTTGTAACACCGTTTTCTATTTTCTTAAGTATTTCCATTCCAATAATTAACACATTGTAGATATATTCCATGCAAACGTATTCAATATCAATTTCAAATTAAATTCTATTCCCACCGCTATGATTGATGTTTACATTGACGCAAGTAGATATAGTCGAGCAGTTCGAATAATAGAATGTTCAATTAATAGTTCGGATATTAGAATATTGAAATAATAGAGTGACAGTAGGAAGAAAGTACGACATCTCGGCTACTAATAAAAATAAATAATCTTAATTAACAGCATAAACATGTATTTTCCAGTATCGAATCATTTCTATATCTATCGTTCCATCGTATTGAAATACGTACAACCATCGCATCTATACGAAATCTATCTTCAAAATGCATATACCATCCCAAGAATACGAATATATATATATATATAATATTACATCCACAATTGCACCAGCAGAATCGCAAATCCCAGTCCGCAAGTCATCGTTCATTGTGCATCGAGATTCCGCGCTGGAATTCGGTCGCGAAGAAAGCTCGCAGCGGGGGGAAAGTGGTTGGAAAGGGAAGGGATGGATAGCCGATCTAATCCGACGGAAGTCGTTCCCCGTTCGAGTGTTCGAAATAGTTGGGGAAGAAAGCTGCAAAACTGACACCGCCGCAGGTATGTAGAAACCGACAACCGAAGGTGTCTAACACAGTGAGAGGCCACAGATCTCACCGTAAGCTTGTACACAGCCGTTTAATTTCAATAGCTCCGTCATGGACGTCAAGAATGTTCCGCAATTCTATTCGAAGCATTCGAAGTGTATATGTGGAGGATCGTTCCTTGCGACCCCGATCTAAGGATTTTTGTTGCGGGCATCGACGTGTCGGTGACTGGCATCCGATCGATCCCGATTTCCAACTGAATTTACCGAAATCTCCCTGACTATTAGCGTCTATTCGTTGAGAACGATTGAACAGCGGAAGGAGATGGGTCGTCGATGCTTATTCCGTTTCGAGAAAGCGTTCGAGGAACTTGTTTTGAAATTACGGTTCGATTCTTCTGTTTCCATAGGATGTCGCGTGTGGTGATTCGTTGGGATAATATTCGAAATATCCGGATACTGGATTAATAATCGAATTTTCGAGGTCGAATGTTTTATAGGAGGATAGAAATGAAAGGGTATATAGGCTTTGAAATGTTGACGATTTTTAAAAATTGATGATCGATTATTAGATAGATTTATACGAAATTTGAACGAGGCAAATCTTTGTTTAAGCCTCGTTTCTTTTAATCGTGTTTACAAATTTTGTGTTATTGAATTTTAATTAGAATTTCTTTTGATATTTTGATAAGAATATTTAATCACTTGAAAAATTCACAGAACTGAAAACTCTATGAATTTATTATTTCATTATTCGTGCAATATTATATTTTATTAACGAAGAAAATATGAGGAAATTATTATTCTTTTATATAACATGGAACATTACAAAACACGTGTATATTATCTTATATATTATAGTTATTATTTAATATAATCAGTTTTCATTTCATATTGCATTTAATTTTAATTAATTAAAATTAGTCTTTATGTAACATCAATTAGTCTTTATTTTAATTAAATTTATCATTAAAAATGTCAAACACGTTAAAATGATATGTCTCAGATTTTTTTTATTCTCTCAATTAATAAAAGCATGCATACGCTTTCAAACAAAATTAACATCGATTTTAATTGAAATAGAAATGCAATTATATGCACTTATTTATTTTCATTATTCCAATTATAATTATTCACATGCGTGTGATAGTTGT